GAGAAATTTTACTAGTGACCGATAGCAAAACTTCAGGACGGGCTGGTGATAAGGATCAACTTTCCCCAAGGAACATAGGTAGATATGAAAAAAAAATTGGTCCTCCAAGTGTAACTCAATTCAGCTGATCTGCAACTTTGTATGGGAGGACCATTTTTTTCATATTTCTTACTTTATTAGCGGCACACGTAGACAGAAATTAACTCTCGCTATCCAGGGAGTAAGTGAATTGCTCACTGTTACGTTTATTGTCATCATTGAAACAGGTTTATTCGATTGAGATCCCAGTACGTTGATTTTGAAATCTACGTACGTTGATTCTAAAGAACATAACAGAGTCAGCAATTTGTTGAATCTGTGCTCGCGTCCGTCTAACGGGAGTGGCCAGGATTCATGTTAGTGCATTCACGTTTTAATCTTTAAATCCCCGTCGGTCGATCCCACTACCAGAGTTAGTAACTCGGAAAATACGATCGCTTTTAAAGATATCAGAAAATCCAGCTTAGCACTAAAAGTTAGGTTTCCTCTTAGTTCTTTAAAACTGCAAAACCGTGCACAATAGTTTTGTGGAACCTGTGCATTAAATTTTGGCATTAGATAGAATTTTGTAAGTTTTCATTTACTTTGTAAGTACACTACAAGAAGTTTGAATGAAAATAAAAATGCAGAAGCATTTTCTTGGCAAATAAAGTTGGCTTTTTTTTCATGTGTGTATACTGTATACAGTTATCTACTTATGTAGTTTCTTCTCTAAACAACAGTTCCCTTCTAACCAATAAGTAAGTAGGTACCTACTAGCTAAATAGGTAATCAATTATAGAGCAAAACACTTGTTCATGAATTGGCTGGTAGAGAATGTCGTGTGGCATCAGACCCGCCATTTGAACGATGTCCAATAAAGTATTAAAACAAAATAAATAGCTGAAATACTGTACCTACAAACAAAGTGCTTTAACTCATATAATCTCATTAACCTTATATTATAATGCAATTTGAGGCTACCAATAGATAGGTATATCTCAGGTATTGTAGCTCAATTTGGTTGGTGCCTGTTTGTAATTTACCAGACCTCGGGCAGATTCACCACCTACATACCACACAACAATTATTGTACAAGAGCTGCAACGTGTGGTACAAAGCGGGACAGATTGCACAGCTTGTTGCATGTGTGAGCAATTAGACTCAAATTAAGCGAGTCAGGATTATACGTATACGAACATGCACCTACTACTCTGCTACTACAGCCACAACAATCCACTGCTGCACGCATAAGCCTCCAAATGAGGGGTATTGCCATACTCACCACGCTGGGCAGCGGATTTGCGAGCGCAGTGCAAGGTTTTGTAGATAGATATTCACAGGGAACGCTGCTGCCCATTCCCTGGATCAATCCCTTAGTCGCCTTATACGACACCCACGGGTAGCAATGGGGTGACCATAGGGTAATAGCTTCACTATTCTAAGCTGGCACCCCACGGCAATACACCTACACAGACACCTACTCTTCGATAATCTATTAATTGCAAAAATATGTGAAGACAAGACTGGATGAGATAAAGACACTTCTTCTTCTTCTTTTCGAGTGGGTCACCGAGTCGTCCAACGATAAAACACTATAAAGAAAGTCGATGAGAATGGACCACAAAGAGTAGATAAGTCCCTATGCTTGAAATATCTATTTCCATTGAGCTTTATACGTCACTGAATAAATAATAGGTTTCCCCCGTTGCCAATACTCAATCAATTTCCGAACCAACATTAGAGTAAGATGTAAAGGCAGATAAGAAGCTTATTTCGTCGTCTACCTGTCTGTTGATATACTCGAATGTAGAAGGCTTTACTTTAATAATAAAGCCACTTTAATGGATCTCATTCATAGCTGGTGGTACAAAAATAAAGATATAATATTATGAAGGTACACAATACATGTTTATAAAAATAAGATCTTAAGGCTTTGAATGAAAAGTATGAGGCTTTTCTTTCATTGTGTCATTTGTGTCCTCGAAAATACTTTAATCCAAAAAGGAAACAGCTAACAAAACGTAATCCCCAGATTTACAAGCGTACACATCGGATAAATCGTAATAGCGTTTCCTTAAAGTTCGTTTACAAATACAAATAAGTCGAAGGAACACATCCGCAACAGGTTGCTTCCTTAATGAAGTCGAGTTTCCCGCCCAAATATTTTACGTGACAAAATTAAGTTAAAGTTGGTGTACGATGTTTTTCAAGTTGGGGTCGACTCACCTTTGAAGTTAGGTGGTAGCAATCCAGTTTGTCGCGTATTATCGTTTGACGCGAGAACGCGAGAGGGCGCGCGTGCGACGGGGTCGTGCGGCGCGCCAGGTCTCCTCGACGGCACTACCGCGCCCGCCGGCCCGCCCGTCCGGTCGCCGCCGAGCCGCGCCGGGCCGCTGGGCCGCCGCCGACCGCCGACCGCCCGCCTTAGCGCCTACGAACGAATTCCTTACTTGCTGTGATTAATCACCGAGCCACCTGCGGAGCCTTTGTGTGCCGCTAATGTGTTCTGTTTCCACAACCCATTTTGAATACAGCAAGACACAAAGCTTTTGCTGTTCTCTTCGAAAATAAAGCTCTACTAGCGCACTTCCGTTGTCATTTCGATGTAAATTCAATCGATATGAATATCCATCGCAGGTTTTGCATATCGATAGCGAGAGCCAAACCACTGGGGAGGTATTGCCTGTGCCTAGACCTATATTGGTTTTACTTTGTCTACTTTGACAATGGACTAACTACGTTCAAAGCTATGTATCTACACGTTGTAACAAAAAATGAGAACGTATGTTTATGGTATATTTTTAATGTACTTAACTAATGGCATAAGAAAGCCTATGCCCGGTGCCCGGTAGGCTTCGTTGGTAATTATGAACCAATTCAATCTGAACATAAGCGAGTAGCTATGATAGGTATAGATATAAATGGCTATGATAGATACAATACAATATTCTATTCGTTACTGATGTTTTTTACTACGGGAAAGTCTCCTGAAATATGTTCTTACTCCGCGGAATTGGAGTAATGCTTACTAGATAAGCTGCAGGTGACATCGATGTTTATAATAAGCTATTAGAATGAATATCGTCAGTACCATCAAATTAATTCATGAATTGAACGAACGGCCCTCCCCTACCTAAGAATCAAAGCCAACATCACATTAAAAATTACAGCGCGGTAAGTTGACGCGGCCGCCCGGGAAGTTTGCTAAAGCTCACAGAGCTTTGCGACGCCGAGATGACATCTTGACATACTTTCCCCGACTTCCGGTGTTCAGATAGCCTATCAGCTTTTGCCGAAAGCGCTTCCTAAGTATGGGACATGGGAAAACTTCTGCTTTGACTATGAAAACAAGCATTTTCACGAATATCTATTTAGATAGGTAACAACTTTCCGTTCGCTCAAAATATTTGTGTCGTCAAAGAAGATTGCTTGGTGAAGTAAATTAGTTTGCCTACCTCACGCCTACCTATAATATTTTGCCCGATATACTAGAGTATTCCAAGTTCTGTGTCATAAAACACGTTAAAAAGTTGTTCGTGTCCTTGTCTCGTAGTAAAAAGCTGGGTTTTACAATGTGGGCTATCATTAATCACCATGGCCATAAGGTCTAGTACTTATCACTAGACAATTTGGTGGCTGATATCCCTAACAGGAAGTCAAATGACGGTCACTAAGCTATAAAAACCAGCGGCGATTCTTTTTCAGTCGTCTAGGTTGTTATCTGACCTCAAAGTAAAAAATAGGATAAGGTTAGGTCAATAATTGTGATATGGGTCGCCAATAAATAGGAAAGTTGGTAATATATTTTTTTATATTATTGTCAACGAAATATACTTAGCGAGACCTTTTGCTTGTGAGGCTAGTCCAAAAATGAACTAATTTTGATATATTTATTATTGGGTTCTTTTTACAATAAATGTTAGGCAAAAAAGGTTCCAGAGAGCTAGAAGGCATCTTATTAATTCAGTCAAATGAAAACTACTCTTCCGAAAACAATTTGCGGGCGACCGCTATTTTGGGGTGATCACTGCGCTACCACAAACTGTAAGGGTCAACGCACAACTAGTATAGTGCCATATGGCGTAAGAAGTTGAAAAAAAAGTCCCGTCTGCGGTAATTAAAGTAGTATTTTGCTCTAAAAATCCGCCATCGTGAATATATAATTTTTTAGTATAGCCAGTGTCACTTGCCCTGCTGAGACGAATCTAATGACACCTCAAATGTCAAAATCCAACTATCCGTTTGGGCTGTAGCCCGTGAAAAAGAATTTTCTTGTCCTCATACATACATACATACATACATGCATACATACAAACATACATACTCTCGAAAAACATAACCCTCCTGAGGCAGTCGGGTAATTAAAATTTCTGTATTCTAACAACTGAAATAAAATCGTGATTGATCGGATCCTGAAAAGCTTAGGGCAACTAGTAGTCAGTAGCTTAGCGTAACTAGTGCAGTAAACGAAGTCGTTTGTTCATGCAAGCTAATATTAACTTTTGCGATTTGCGACACAGTCACCTTTTTTTTAAATTTTATCGGAAACTTATAGATGTGAGCTGGTCTTAATGCAATAGTTGCCTATCCGTGCCTACATAAAAAGAAAATCGACAAGTCACCTATTTTTTTAATTTTATTGAAAACTTACAGATGTGCGCTGGTCTTAATGCAATAGTCGCCTACCCGTGGAAACATTACATTGGTGGCCGGCAATTCCAACCACCTGAATTGGGGTTGGCAGACGTGACCACTCCTCTAATACCTACTAAAACAGTTACGTCTTGCCGTTGCCAGTAAAAGTCGCAGCTAGTTGCGAAACTTTTCTGGGATGTTTTAGGCAACAAGCTTTCTTCAACAACGCGATGATCCTTCTGTAAAAAGTAGGTGGTTGTTTTCGGCGAGAGACAGGAACGAAAACATAAATTCTCATTTTTATCGTTATGATGACAATAAGAAAATTAGTTAGGATCGGCCAGGCGCCGGTAGCTCAGTTGGCAAAGCATTGGGACCGTTCTCCAAGGTTCCGGGTTCAAGTCCCGACCGGCACTAACGAATTTTTCAATTTTCTTGTTTTCTTTGTAAGTGCATTGAAATCCCAATTTATTAGTATTGTTACTTTGTTGGTAACTATTTGTAAGAATTAGATGAGGACATGATCTACTTTCAGCAATTAAAAAATATTTTACAGAGATTTAAATACCAACGCATAAGTAATAGCTATAATTTTGTCATATCGGGCAACTTTCGTCCGCCCTTCTTTTCCCCTATTCCGAGCCAAGGAGCCGCCGGCAGTAAAAGTCATGGCGCATTATTGTTCACAACATGTTACCTTTTATCGCGACCGCCAACCGCGCATATAAATAACCTGATTCCTGTGACGATTCGATAGGATGTACGTGGGATGTTACGTTATGTGGTAAAATGCCGAGCGTAGCAGATGCGTAGAGATTTTACGTCTTGTTTTTGTTTGACTTCTCGTCGAACTGAATGAAGTCTACTGGTATTTTAGAAATTGTTGATATTTTTTTGTTTCATGTTTGGCATACCTATATACCTCTCTTGATTGTCGTTATGCTTCAATTTTGCAAGTCGTAGCAAGTTGCTACGGCGTAGCAGAAGTATCAATATCGGCCTATGATCGATCATTGAAATACCTAGTTTTTCTGTTTCATTGTATCTATATTTGTTTTATCCCTTATAATATTCCCAGTTATTTTTTTATGTATTTTATAAGTTGGGTAAAACGATCCTTTGTCTGTCATCTTTAGGACACGTGAGGAAATTGAATTCCTGTTTTTTGTTTGACAGACACCAGACATAACTGCCGAACGACTATCGATGTCGAACCTAAACACTACCGAGCCAGCTAGACGACTGGCAGATGTAAATTCATTATTTTTTCAATATTTTTTATGGCAAAGCTGCTATTTTGCCATTGGTAGTCATATAGTTATTGCGATTATTAAATACATGATGGTACTTCATATTTCTTACTATAAATAATAAATTAAACCGCTACCGATATCGTTCACCTACTTACATTACTTCCCTTACCATTCATAAAATAAACAGCAACAGAAAATAGAAATGATAAAATGTACGAGACCGCGAAATGTTTGTTTATGAATTACTCAACCGACGTCAGCGTGTCGTAGAGCAGCAGTTCGCTCAATAGAAAAATAAATAATTCTACGTCCTTTTAGACATATAGGAGGAAAATATACAGACTTTATTCCATGATGTTTCTATAGAAAACAATATGAAGTAATAAAATAGTGAGAACAATGGAGCTCGCTCGTAAAGAGCGGAGCGCAGCGGCGGGCGCGCTTCCTTCCAGCAAATTCATTTACGAAATGCAACAAGCAAATTCAAATGATGATGTAAAACGAAGTAGCTCAAGAAAATTGTGTTGTACTTATTTGCCTTGCTCTACGTATTACGAACCAGTATACAGACACCAAGTTTCTATATTGGTAAACAAATACTGACTACATAGTATGAACCAGTATAAACCACTGATCTGTATAATATAGCCGTCTAGGCCGCCCCAGGCCTGCTGATCCGATTTCTATGGTATAAACCAAGTACTTTCGTATTCCATTCTACAAATATTTACGCTAATTGGAGCAAAGACGAATCTACGTACAATTACGTAGGTACATACTTGCTGTAGAACTTTCAGGGCAGAACTAGTTAAGTTGTTCTAAAGCTTGCTTGGTACAAACATACAAGTTCCTGCCACATCATGAATAAGGCCACTTAAGTTTCATAAGCCATAGCTAACATTTAAATTAGAAGCGACAGTGATCTGTGGCAAGAGATAACTTGTTTTCATTTAATTTAAAAACAGCATCACAACTTCTGTGTGAGTTTAAAATAACCCACGCATGTAGTTTCTACCATACTAGCCTGTTTAACATAAGCAAACAATTTGAAGTGCGTCAACAACGTTTACTAACAATGTAACGTTTCGGGGTAATCACATTACGGAGATGAAAGAGATGGCTCAAAGAGGACTTTGACAAACCAAGCTTTCAAGCAAATTCTATCTACTTAGCTATAAATTATCTAATTTTAGATTCAGGACTGACTGACCCTTGTCTGTGATCCTTGTGTACGATCGAGATATAATTTACGATCTTATTATTTTTCCCATCAAGTTATCAAGATTTTTATTACTTTTCGCTACGCCAGCTACGCTGAGTGCTACGCCGTAGGTGATATTTATGAGCTTTTCAGAAAAGATGACCTATAAATTACTATTACTACGGGAATGAACATCATTATAAAATTTTCTGTGCTATGTTGATGCCAAGAATGTGATATAAACCTGTTCGGTATTTTTAAAACAACATCCATTTATAATGTAACGCCGCGCAATGGAGGAGGTTCTCAATTAGACCTGCTTAAATACAAGTAAGAATAATTAGGAATATTTTTTTCTATGTCATAATTTGCTTACTCCGTAAATAATAATAAATACTTTACTTAGGTAATAAAAGGAAACTATCATCCCAATATTTTAACAAAATGTGCTATAAAAACTTTAGTGGACCTCGGGCATATCAGCTGACGGGCAGTAACCTTTTTAGCCACATTACAGTCTAAATGACGGTCGTGATAAATGGTGCAACTTATCCCGCTCATAGCTGAGTAGGCTTCCCAAAGCTGACGGGCATTAGTTCGGTGGGTATATTAGGTTTTGTATACAATATAGAGGTGAACAGAAGGATCACTCGCCATTTCATGATTTAGTCACTTATAGAGTCGCTCCTGTGATCTGTAGGTACTGTAGCAGAGAATTGTAGCAAATTGTGCCACTGCAACCAGAATAAGATTGACTGGTATCTCAAAAAATGGATAATTCAATCCAATGACAAACCTTAATTAAAATTTTTATATTTTTTCAATAGGAAAATAAAACAATAGAATTGGTTTAGTGACAGGAGGGTTACGATTACGACTGGTAGGTAGGTACGCACGACAACCCTAAGATCATAATTTTATTGATCCATATACTTTTATTACTTTGAGAACTCCTTTGTCGTAGTGTTTAAGCACTGTCGTAGTACTAAGTGAACCATCTGTATGGGAGAAACCAACCCGTCCGTACATTACGCAATTTGTGGTATAACACGCAGCGAGTGGATTAACATACAGCTTCCGTAGCTATTTTTTATCGCGATAACGCGGAGCATTCCCGTGAGAAACTTAAAAGCTCTGCCCAATATCCAGGGAGGCCTAAAAGCTTTTATAGAAAGAAATAAATCGCCTGTTTTATACGTGATTGGGTACGAGACAAGAAATATGAGGATTTTAGACGCGGCAATCTCCAGCCCTCACGATTTTATGGTTGATCCTCAGAATACACTTGGTTTGGTTTAATCAAATCCGGGATTCACCCTTGGTGCGTGTAAGTACCTATTACATCCAATGCTAAATCTTAATGAAAAATAGTACATTTTCCTTTCAAAGCAAATAGGATGGTAGTTGTAACATTTCACACTCCTCGTGTGCTTCTAGATGTGTGGTTCTCCATGACACCAAAATGATTAGCTCATATCTTTTGAACAGATCATCGGATTACTCTGATTTTTTGCGTGTGGGGTCGACAAAATATCGGCATTTATTTTAAATTATCAGATCTTCGCTACGTGGTGCGGTTTTCGAGATTTAGCTGTGGCGTGCCATAAAGAGGCTCTCTGTGGTCCGCCTATTTCTTTTCGTTATACTTATCTTCTAAACGTTCTAAACAGTGTCCCGACAAATTCTGGTTCTTGTGCGACTGATTTCGACAATTATTCCACATACTCAAAGTCATGGTTTTTCACATGGGGCGTGCCTTGGAGAACTACACCTAGATCTAGCTGGGGCGAATTCTTTTCGTAATTCTCTCACGGTGTTCCGACAAACTCTGTTTTTGTGCGACTAATTTCGAAAAATTCTCGCTAAATCGACATACTCAAAGTTATGCATGGATTTCCACATGGGGCTTGCCATGGAGAAGCACACAAAGCAGCGTTTCGCTGCAGTGCCTGATTGTGTATTTTTCTATTCGATTGTTTTTCTTACTTATACATAGTGTAGGGATATATAATGAAACACGTTTGTAATTAGCGTTAAAATTTATTAGCTACGTTTAGGGATGAACACTACTGGAGTAATCCCATTACATCAAAATAAAATATGTACAAATAATCGGCAAATAAAATCTCCACATAAAATAGAGGTCACAATTTTAAAAAGTCTTCGCTTATTGAACTTTGATAAATCATTCATTACTTACTTGTACTGCTTTATATTTGTATAAAAATGCATAATTAAATTAATTTTATTTATAAAACACAAACAATATCCGTAAAAAAGTTAGAAACCGTCACTTAAAATATTAATAGTTACCTACACTTTATATTAAAATTTGATATAAATAAATAATAAACTAGTATTTACTTTTACGTTATTATTAGTAATGGCACTAGTCACTTTAGTTAATTTTTATAAGGCACCGGACGAAGTCGGAAGCATTTAACACTGTTATATTATTTGTATTATAAAAGTTTGTAAAATGTTTGTATATATTTTGGCAGTGAGATTCAGTAACCAAAATCATTATAACAACCAACAAAGTTGTATTTTTTTGTAACTTACACAATATTTCACGAAATTTGGAGGTTAACTTTTATTATAATGCTATCAAGAATTTATTATTAGGTTGTATACTATAAAAGCGGAATCAAACTGTCAGCTATATTTAATTTTTAGCCTATTAGATTCACAAATTAGTCCGCGCACTCGGATATATTCGTTTATTCTTAACAAATAATAACAATATCCTCATTTTCTACAAGAATCGAACGTAGCATCATCTTAATTCTTTCACATTCCATACAACAAGGGTCGACCATATTTTACTTATCGATTCATTTTAGGCATACACTTCTCGACTAGGTAAAACTCAAAATATAAAAAAAAATACTTTAAATACATGTTTTACAAATACATGACAATATAAGCTACGTTCGATCGTACTGTATCTACTACTCAAACA